TACGCAATCCAAGTAAAATGAATTCTTTATATAAACCGGTATAAAATAAATTCAAAAGAGAAATTGAAAATTATCAATTTTTGTGAGACATTCATTTATGTAAAAGCTGGGAATGACATGATCTTTCTTTTTTTGTCTTTTTGTAATTATCTTCATTTCTTTTATATCTTTTTTAAGAAATAAAGTTATTGAAACCTACTAATATTTTCTTAATAGAAAAAATTATGATGACAATGATGATGTTATATGAACTATATCTGGATTTTTACGAGAGTTCTTTCCTCCCAAGTATATATATTTTTGTAGAGTCTAGTCTTTTAAGAATAAATACCTTTTTAATAGTGATATTTTTGTCAACTATCACTTTCAATAAATGGAAGAAGGTGTTCATTCTTGGTTGTGTATGACGGAGATAGAACAGCTAGAACAAAGGTGAACAACATGCATTTATCAAGTTGTGTTTCTTTTTATTGTTTCATATAATGAGGCAGTTACGATCTTTCATTATCTGAAGGGGTGTTTGAAAATCTTGAGAGAATAAAAAAACATGGATGATAAATTGAAGATGAAAAAAATTTTTCAGGAAAAATCCATTTTTTTCTGAAATGTTTGTGATGAGACATTGTTAAAATGATTCCATTGGCATTTGGGCAAAACCTTTTTTGGACTTCCCCCTTTTTCAAATTTTTAAAAATGTTTTTTTGCTTTTTGTGTTAAATTTAATTTTGAATTCCCATTCAGAACTCGGGTTTTCTTTTTGAATTGTAGGTTTTTTTTTCTCTTTTTTCAAATAAAAATTTTTTTTAAACATTTGAACCTTTAAAATATAATGCTTTCTTAAACCAATTTTTTCGAATTGTTTGTTGCATTTAAATTTCCCTTTTTTTATTTTAAAAGGTTATTTTTTTAATTTTTAGAGTCTTGAAAAAGCCTTTTTTTCTATTGCCGCATTTTTAAAAATTCCCATGTTGCATGAATTGCCACCACAAAGAATTCGATTTCTATTTTAAATTCTAATTTTTAATATTTTTCAAAATTATAACATAAAGGGCCAAAATTTTAAATTTTTAAATTAAAAAGGAAATCATTTAAAAAGTTTCACCTTTTTTTAGTTTCTTTAGAAAAAGGCAAAAAGTTGCCCCCCGCTTGTTTGTTTTGAGATAGGAACATCATAATAATTTTTTTTCAATTGAAACCTTGGTTTTTTAGTGTTGATTAAAATTTTCACAGTTTAAAATTTTTTTTTTTTTTCTTTGCCTTTCTTTTAAAACTTATGTCTTTACACAGTTTCATTCAGCAGATTTTATTTGTTACAATGAACTGTTGGTTTTTTGAATTAAACCTAAAAATTTTAACAAAACACACACTCTGTTAAACCTCAAATTGATTCAATGCTCTTAACATAAATCATATGTTATGTGAGATTTCACCGAGTCAGCATTTTGCTTCCCTTATCGGGGACGTTACATATGTCAAAATCATAGCTGTTCTATTAGTGGGGGGAACTTTTAAAATTTCTTATACGGGTTTGGTTGTGTTTAAAATGGCTGAATTTTGAAAATATAAGATACACATTGTATGGTTGTGTAATTTTTCTTGTTATTTTCCTTTCACCCCTGAAATTTGAGGGCTATCATGGTCGAAATTAAGCCAATGAGACCCCCACTTTCTAATCATCTTTCATGAATCATTTTTTTCATTTGTGAGAGAATTTTTTATTCTCGGTCAGATTAAGGTCAAATGAGGTGAAGGGGAAAATTTTAATTTTTTTTTTTTCTTTCTGGGTCAATTGAGGTGATTATTGCTTCAAATTAGGGTCATATTTCAGGATACAACAACAGTAAGTTCATTGAATTTCCATTATAGAGTATTTTCTAGGAGTTCTGAACTATCATTATTTTCATTTTTTACATAATCTATGAAAGGTTGTATGATTACAACAAAAAATTCTAGATTACTAAGAACTGCCTGTTGTAGTGACGTAAAATAAGTGAAAATACATGTATTGTGGGCAGAAGGTGTGAGCGACACACCTGCTCATTTTATTATGTGCTTTTTTTTAAATGTATGTTTAAATATAGAAAGATGTATTCTCCTACATGAGAAAAAAAACTCATCTAAAAAAAAAAACAAAAAATTTAAAAAAAATTTTTTTAAAAAAAAACTCCAAGATTTTTTAAAATTTAAAATTTGTTTTTTTTCTCTCTGGATCACAATTAAAATACATATTTAGAAAAATTTCTTTTTATATAAAAATTGCTGCCTTGATTAGAAAAATGGAACATTTAAAATTTGTATTGCAGTAGGGGAAATTAAGCCGGTTTTTTTTTTTCTTAAAAAAATGTAAAAAGCTAAAATGTCCTGAAAATGCCATGACATTAAACATTGTGACACGGGAAAAGGTGGTTTATAAAGATGATTTTTAAAATTTTTGAAACATTTACAAAAAAATAAATTTTTAAATTTTTTTGTAAGCACTTGCTAATTTTTATTATAATCTATTTATTTTATTTGGTAGGGTGCAAAATGCTCATTTTGACCACCCTGAATCCGTTTTTGGACAAATAATAGTGAGCAATAGTGTAAAATTCTTTTTGAAGAACTTTCCGGGTTTTAACTTAGCCTTTCGGAATGCCGTTAACATTGCTTCCTCCTAAAATGACTCTGGGGACTTCAAATTTTGATGGGGATTTTTAGTGAAATAGTAGATGGCCATTTTTTGGACCCAGTTAAAAGAGTATCACATTTATTTCTTTGAAAGTACAGGCCGGGCATTGTTTGTTTTTATTTTTTACAAAGGATTATTCGACTGCAGGTTTATTAGTATTAGGAATCGAATATGGTGCAGGGAACTGCATTTTCTTAAGAAAGACTTCAGCGGGGAATTTCCCAATTTTTGCACCCAAACTTTTTTTACCTTTCAAAAATTTTTTCGGGACATTTTATGTGAGGGGGGGTTTAATAAAACAAAAAGAAAAAAAAAGGCAATAAAATAAATTTTTTTAGGGGGGATTCATCTTCAGACACATTACATAAAATAAATTATAAAGTGATGAATCTGTTTTTAAAAAGGTGGTGTGTTTATTTTGTCAGATTAACTAACAGTCTAGACTGAGGGTGAAAAATTGCAGAGTTGATTGATCTCTAGTTCAGTGTGATACATTGAAAAAAGACTAGACACCGATTGCAGATGAAATTTGATACAGGAGTTAAATGGGGAAAAAAAGAATTAATAAGGATTTGTCTGGTTGCGATAAGTAAATATAAAAGCTAAAATGGGCTTGATAGGTTTTTTCTCATGAACAATTTGTTCTTTTTCTCTCTTTACCCCTTTACCTTATGAATTTGTCTAGCTTTAAATTTGGAGCAATCCATCCCATTTCAAAATCAAAAATTCAGCTAAGTTGGATCAAACTGCTGGATGTTCTAGCTGACGTGGCGGTTTATGTTGGTGGCATGCAGAAGTCATCAGTGCCCAAGGCACTTTATAAAGGGCAAAAATATATTTTAATGGTGATTTTATTGCTGTTTAAAAACAATTGTAATGTTTGGAGTTTGAAAAAAAAAAGTTTTTTATGTTTCCCTGAAGATGGAATAGTATAGTAATGATGTTCATTTTACCACACCATCTTTAGATTGAAACTAATCATGTAGGAACGTATTGTAAACTTTGGAAAGAAAACTTTTAATTCTAGCTAAGATGACTGAGGAAAAGGTTATGGTCCCTCATTTATAAAATTTTTAAATGTGTACTGGCTGAATAAAATTCAGTGCCGACCATGATTTAACTGAATGGTTGTGCCAGTTGATCTTGGCTTGAATTCACTGTTTTAGCTAGGTTTAAATGAATTATAAAGAGTTTTGATCACTCATACACATCTTTCAATTGATCATTTATACACATCTTTCAATGGTCTAATAAACATTTTTCAGACATTATAAACATTGATTTATGTAATAAAAATGTTATAAAACATTGGTGTTAACACATATATTGGTACAGTATTCATATATATTAGTCTATAGCCTATATGTTTAACTGTCGGTATGTTCAGTGAGATAGATCAGTTTAAACCATATAGTTGGCATACACTAACTGAAAACTAGGCCAGGTTAGTCTGTCTGAATACTTTACCTCGTCTGACCTCGCATATATATAAATACATATATATTATGTGCTATTTATAACCTAGACTAAATATATGATGATGGATGCATTTTTATTGTTGTTTGGCAGTGTTTAATGTGTTTGAGTAAAGACTTTTTAAGATTTTCTTGGTGAATAAGTCCTGAAGCATTTTTATTCCAAAAAAGTATCAACTTTGTTGTAAATCATTTAAAAACAACACACAAAAACCCCCATAGCATTATTGCTGATTTACAACTGTAATGAAGCTTTCTCTTGTGGAAAAAAGTCTTGATTTCATACTGATTTATTGTGGAAAAAAAGAAGAATGTCATGTTGTAAATTCAATATACTTATGGTTGTACAAAGAAAAAACAGTTTCAATTCTTTCAATCATAGCTGGAGAAAGTTCTTTCCGGCTTGTCAGGCTGTTTATTGAGAGCTAGACATTGACTAGGCTGTTTACTGACAGCTAGACACTGACCAGGCTGTTAACTGACAGCTACAGACTCACCAGGCTGTTTAGTGACCCACCAGGCTGTTTACTGACAGCTAGACACTGACCAGGCTGTTAACTGACAGCTACAGACTCACCAGGCTGTTTAGTGACCCACCAGGCTGTTTACTGACAGCTAGACACTGACCAGGCTGTTAACTGACAGCTACAGACTCCCCAGGCTGTTTACTGACTCACCAGGCTGTTAACTGACAGCTACAGACTCACCAGGCTGTTTATTGACAGAGACTGACCAGGCTGTTTACTGACAGCTGTGCCCACAGGTGTTAAAAAAAGAGAGTGAAAATATTATCATTATTATACTAAAAAAAAGAAAAGCATTGATATTAACCAAGGTTTATCTTTTTCTCTTTGCAGGATGTTGAAGAAAAAGTGGACCAAATTGTTATGAAATGTAATCTTTGATGCTGGAATTCCTTGTCAAGAATGTCTTTTTGATATGTTTGATGAACATTTTCTACATGTATGGAATTAGAAAATCACTTGCCCTAATCGAGTAAGGTAAAAATTGCCTCATTTTTGTGGGTTTATTAATAAACCTGAGAATGAATATTTATGTTATGTCAACAATATATATTTCAACAATGAATATGTAGAGAATTTTTAAAAAATAATCTTTGATCAGGGTTTACTGATAAACCCATTACTTGCCATAACACCAGTGTAGAGTCAACACTCCCATAGAGACTACTGTATATTAAAACATTGAATGGACTGTTCTTGATTCACAACAGGGCAAATCCATAACAAAAAAAATCAGCGAGTTAAGAAATGTTTTCAAAACCAAATACAGTATATATTGCATACTTGTGTTTTCCTTAGTCAAGTGTTGGCACAATGTTGCTAGATAAAATGTAAAAGAAGACATTTACACATTACAACTTCTTCTCCAACTGATTATGTGGTGATTCAGGTTCATTCTAGCCTGGAACTTGTGTGTTAACTTTGAAATGTATATATAACAGGTATTATGAGTTATTGCTGAAATAGGACAATTTTTCTTCTCCAAATCCTGGTTCTCAATTGGCCAGAAAATTGTGAGATTTTGCAAACCTAAGATGTATGGGTACAAAAAATAATTTCCTAATCTTAATGCGACCAAAACATTTATATAGTAACCCTTCAAATGACTTGTCCTACACTGCTGTGGGTTTGGAACCTGGAAGCTATCCAGCTAGTGTCCCGTCATACTTGAGATAATTCATGGTAGAGCACATTAGGTCTTCCTCCACAAGTAAAGCTGGAAAGTCGCCATATGATCTATACTGCGTTGGTAAGATGTAAAACCCAACAAAAAAGGAGAGAAAAAACTACAACCAAAAATAAAAAAAAACTATTAAAAATACATGCATGTTATGAAATGGTTTGAAATATCTTGTTATTTCCATTTTACATGTATATATGTTATATATTTTTCTGCGTGATTTATAATCTGGCCAATAATTTAAACTGATGTTTTCCTGCTTCCTGGTTGTATCTTGTGTCAGTCTGTACATACTTGTACATTTCTTTCATTTTAGTTGGAAAATTCAAATTTCTAGAAAATGATTTTGTTTTAAAGGTGAATATTCATTTTCAAGACAAAAAGAAAGGAGAATTATTTATTAAACACTCTGTTCAGCACTTTTTTTTCACTTGAATGGGAAAGGGCCCCTCCCTTAAATTTTGTGAAAAATAACACAGCATTTATGCAAAAGGGGAAGAAAAGCCTGATATAAATTGAATATAAGAGTCATGCTGCATGGTTTGAAAAATATATCCTAAGGGGCAGCAGTCTTGAAACAAAAGGAAAAAGCCCTTAACCTGTTGACTTTGTGTAATTGTTTTTTCCTGCTTTGAACAGTCCATTCAAATTTTAAAGGGTTCAATATCTAAGAGAGAAAAAAGGGTAAATTACCAACTGTACAGAGCCTGGCCAGACTGTATGGATCATGGCTCTATACTGGTGGCAAAGACTTATCCCTTTCAATGCAAGTAAGTTGATGGTTAATGGTTTTATACTTGAAAAAAAAAAAAATATGAGCCGTGCCATGACAAAACCAAAAAGGGGAAGACAAGCATTGAATATCAGAGTCAGCTGCCTGCTTGAATATCCGCACAGTCTTTAACAGGATCATCTGTTGCTGTAATTTTTCCCTGCTTAACAGTATTCAAATGAAAGGCAATCAAAAAAAAAGCTAATTACGACTGTGAGAGCCTGGCTTCTTGGATCCATGCTGGTCGAAAACATTATATTGTTTGAGTGTCATGAACGGTCTATATTGTGTTTTTTCTTCTTCAAGTAAAGTTTTATAATGATAGAATTAGGTTTTGATATTGTATCTCAGGTAACAGTGTGATGTGATTATCCATAGATGATTGTTTGTGGGCATAAAGAGAACAGATTCTAAGAGAAAAAGAGAGAGAAAGCTGAAGAACAGGTTTTCTTGATGGTGTGGGACTAGAACTGTTGCAGGTACAGAAAAACAACAACAAAAAACAATAATAACTTAAAACTTGAAATAGATACCAGTCTGAAAATGCTAGCATCTAATTGTTTGTTTTTGTGCACAATCATCAAATGAACCAATGAAAGGCCAGCATTTTAGACTGGTGTGCATGTTTCAAGTTTTTGACCCTGGGCTTTTCTTCATTAATTAAGTTGGCATCAAGAAGTACAGTTTTCATTATTTTAGAAATAAATATTTTATGTCATGGTTAAAACTATTATTATTAAGATTTATAATTTAGACTTTCATTATTATTAAAAGACAATATTATTCTCCCATTATTAAGAACTAACAATTATGTCGACAATAGCGGGGGACGCAAATTACTGAGTGCATAGTCCAATTACGCCCTATTTGCCAAGGTAGTATGGTGGATATCATTAGGGGGGGAAAAACTGAAAATATTGACAGATTATTATTATTGGTATATGTAATAACAATCCCAGACACCCACGCGAGCTATAACTAGATTGATTCTCCCATTACTAAGGATTATAAGTCTGGCCATATGTCGCACATCTTGTCTGGAGAGCTGACAACACAGAGAAAAAATCTACCATATAAGAAAACAAGTCATGGAAATATTTCAGCATTCAGTTTTATAGCTTATGTGAGTGTCTTAAATTTAGAACAGTTTAGTAGTACACTAAGAAAGTATGGGCTAGTTAGAATTATAATTATTGGATGTGTTACAGCTATTTGTAATCAATTCAGTTTGATACAGGGCATGAACATTAGAGATGTTGGAAGTGGTTTAATGATGTTCTTAACATTGGGCATTTTTTTGTGACAGTGTCCGTTAGGTTCTTAAAAATCATCAGAATCTTTGAACAAAATTTTGGCCTAGTTTCTGATCTAGCACATTTTCAAAACCGACTCAGTTTTTAAGGAATTTGAGGATTTCACTTTCTTCCATCTGCACAACAAGAGGTACCTATAAAAAATACACATTCCTTTCTTTAATCGGCAATAGCAATGGCATTTTGTATTGTGTCAAAGATTAAACATCTATAAGGATGTGATGTTTGCTTATGTTACGGGAATGCTTTTAAACAAGCATACATGTCTGTAATCAAAATGTACATGTTACAAGAATCCTACCATGCAGAATTTAAAGATATAAAGGGACCATAAACATGCCACATATAAATGGCAACCCATACTTTAATTGATAAAACTGGCAGAGTTATTATCAGTCTTAAAGTTGAAATATCATAACAGAAATATTTTCTACCGAAGTAGTTTCCAGAAATGTCCACATAAAATCATTTTTTCAACAGAAACATTCTCTTAAAATCATTTTGGAAAATAGATAGACAGCCTTGGAATGTTTATATTAAAACTTTTATTATTTATAGATAGGTCGGTATCAATTCCATACTTACTTTCTTGCAAAGTTCAAGGTAGAATTTTTCTTGCAAAGCTATTTTTAGCATGTCTCGTGTAAAAGCCAACATTTTTCAGTTTTCTTATATTTGTTTGTTATAAGAACAGTTAGGATTTTTATTCGTGTATGCTTTTTTTTTACACAAAATGTTTTTTCTAAGCATTGCTGTAGAAGTAAAACATACTATTCTGTTGCAAAGCCAGCCAATGTGTGGATTACTGTACATATGTGTTTAATGAAATTTTGGCAAAATGAAATTATGTCACTTATAACAATAGCAAACAGGTGAGATCAGTATTCAACTGGTTTTAATATGTTCATGGTTACAGTGTGAGGCTTTACTGTTCGTGGTTACAGTGTGAGGCTTTACTGTTCGTGGTTACAGTGTGAGGCTTTAATGTTCGTGGTTACAGTGTAAGGCTTTAATGTTCGTGGTTACAGTGTAAGGCTTTAATGTTCGTGGTTACAGTGTAAGGCTTTAATGTTCGTGGTTACAGTGTAAGGCTTTAATGTTCGTGGTTACAGTGTAAGGCTTTAATGTTCGTGGTTACAGTGTGAGGCTTTAATGTTCGTGGTTACAGAGTGAGGCTTTAAGATAGATTTTTAGATGTTCTTGGTTACAGAGTGGGGCTTTAATGTTCGTGGCTACAGAGTGAGGCTTTAATGTTCGTGGTTACAGTGTAAGGCTTTAATGTTCGTGGTTACAGTGTGAGGCTTTAATGTTCGTGGTTACAGTGTAAGGCTTTAATGTTCGTGGTTACAGTGTAAGGCTTTAATGTTCGTGGTTACAGTGTAAGGCTTTAATGTTCGTGGTTACAGTGTAAGGCTTTAATGTTCGTGTTACAGTGTGAGGCTTTAATGTTCGTGGTTACAGTGTAAGGCTTTAATGTTCGTGGTTACAGTGTAAGGCTTTAATGTTCGTGGTTACAGTGTAAGGCTTTAATGTTCGTGGTTACAGTGTGAGGCTTTAATGTTCGTGGTTACAGTGTAAGGCTTTAATGTTCGTGGTTACAGTGTGAGGCTTTAATGTTCGTGGTTACAGAGTGAGGCTTTAAGATAGATTTTTAGATGTTCTTGGTTACAGAGTGGGGCTTTAATGTTAGTGGCTACAGAGTGAGGCTTTAATGTTTGTGGTTACAGAATGAGGTGGTTACAGAATGGGGCTTTAAGATAGATTTTAAGATGTTTGCGGTTACAGAGTACACGGATATAAGATAGGTTTGCAGATGTTCGTGGCACTTAACTTGCTTAAAATGGTATTATAATTGGTTAATCATTATATTGAATTTAAAATAATGATGATAAGAGCCGCGTCATGACAAAACCAACATAATGCGTTTGCGACCAGCATAGATCCAGACCAGCCTGCGCATCCGCGCAGTCAGATCAGGATCCATGCTGTTCGCTATCAGTTTCTCTACTTGTAATAGAGTTGGTAAGCGAACAGCATGGATCCTGATCAGACTGCGCGGATGCGCAGGCTGGTCTGGATCCATGCTGGACGCAAACCCATTATGTTGGTTTTGTCGTGACGCGGCTCATAATAATAAAATGAAATCATCTTTATTTTGTAGGAATAACTTTACCTACTGGGTATCAATAGTATGTTTTGTGGTGTAAGGGAGACAACTCTGGTAAAATAATTTGTACGTTGTCCAGGAAGTATTTGTATCATCATTTTGGATATTATTTTCCATGGTTAATATTGAGCACAGATGTCAAAAGATTTTTCTAATTAATTTTATTGTATGAAAAAATAAAATTGATAAAAGCTGGGATTTATGTTTAAAATATTTTATTCATTTTACCATTATTACAAATATAGTAACTAGAGAATTGGTTTTTATTCAAATGACAATTCAAATGATGATATTTACCAATAATTTTTACTTTAATATTAATAATTCTAATACGCATTTATAATTGTCTTACTTCATACAGCTGTGCTTTTTAATGTTCAAATCACAAACAAAATTCTTCAAATCTTCCTTATTCCAAGGGATTGATAATTGAATAAA